GAGGGATTCCCCTCTAACAAAACAAGACCTACAAGACCTTAATTGGTCCGCCTACGCAAGTCTGAAACCAACAAACCACAGAGCCTTGCAGTGGCAGATTATCCGCAGATGTCTTCCGACACCGGATTGGTTGACCTCAAGGACTGACCTCGAGGAAAGAGGGGAGCTCTCCCCCATATGCTCATACTGTGCCCATTCTGTTCCTAGGAAGAGGGCCACCCTGGAGCACTGCTTGCTGGAGTGCCCAATTGTAGCCCAGCTCTGGAGTTGGTGGGACGCCACCTGGCATTATTTAACAAACGAACATCTGCCATGGAATACCCGCACCCTATTGTTGGGTGCTCCCGCCCAGGGAGGCGTTCCATGGACGCCCTTCATGGCCAACCTCTTCTCCTAAACCAGGTTGACAATCCTTATGTAGGCCTGGAGACGTTGATCGTTTCAAAGGAATCAGCGCATGTGCGGTGTCATGTAGGCACGAATAGCAATAATTGACTCAATCACGGCCAAGACACAGCAAGCCCACAAGGAGCTAGGGGAGATGCTAAAAAGTGAACAGGATCAAAGTAAAAAACAGGATCTCATTGACAACTTCGCCCTCATATGGACTGACAAACAGAACAGGCTCTGCAGCTTGGACGGGCAGAATCATCTGCAATGGCAACCCTGGCCAACAACAGAGCGGCAGTGGGAACGCTTGCCGCAGTCTCACTTCCAGGTGGACCACCAAATGACAAACTTTGTTCTTGTACCACAACGAAGCCCAGACAATCACCCTTCGTAGCCCCTCCCTGCCCTCTCTTATGCCTGCAACGCATAACACCCGCTCTTGTGCCACCCCTCCACTCACTTCACCCCCCACCTCACGCGCTCAACACCCATCCTCCTCCATAACCTGCTCCTCCCCACCCCCCCACCCTCACCCGCCCTCTGCCGGTCAAGGATGGGTCTCTCAGGCCAAGTCAAGGGCACAGGCGGGGAGAGAGAGAAAAGGGCTATACCTGTAAAAGAGCGAAAGAGGGAGAGAAGATCAAGACTCCCCGGAATGGGAGGGCTAATTATTCAAGGTGGATAGGTTGAACTGAGGTCTTTACACACAATCACACACTTAAATAGCTGCTGGGGCATCCACGTTTACTGTTGATAACAGTAGGCGGCCATATATGTTAGTATCTTTCGCCACACAGAACTTTACATAGGTGAGCCTAGGGGTTCACAGATACATTTCTTGCATGTTCCACCATACAAACAGCTACAATTGTTCAGGGATGCTGGACCCGGTTTCCAGCAGGTGCTGCTGCCCACCGATAGATGGGGCCTCCCCGACGGTGGTACTGGTGTCTGCTCGTTTCAGCACCCCTAGCAAGTAGTAGCAACTGCTCGGGTTGTTTTATAAAAAAAAAAAAAAAAAAAGTTGAAAAGACCCACGATCACCCATCCTTTTTTTTTTCTTTTTTTTTTCTTTTTGAGAAAAAGCGAGATCTTTTTTTTTTTTTTTTTGGCAAAAAACTGGAAGGACTGGAAAAACAAAGAGCAATCAAAGAGCAACGGAAAACAGGCTGAAAAAACAGGCCGAACTAGGCTGCTCTGAGTTGCGCTGAAATCTGCTGCAGTACAAGCTGGAAGGACTGGAAAAACAAAGAGCAACAAAGAGCAACAAAGAGCAACAGAAATCAGGCTGAGAAACCAGGCTGAACTAGGCTGCTCTGAGCTGCACTGAAGTCTGTGGGGAGGGGGACCACCGGGGGGCACCAGTGGAGTCTCCCTCCCTCCCTCCCCTAGCCTCAGCCAACCAAAACAAAGAGCAATTGAAGAGCAACAGAAAACAGGCTGAAAAACCAGGCTGAACTAGGCTGCTCTGAGCTGCGCTGAAATCTGCTGCAGTACAGGCTGGAAGGACTGGGAAAACAAAGGGCAACAAAGAGCAACAAAGAGCAACAGAAAACAGGCTGAGAAACCAGGCTGAACTAGGCTGCTCTGAGCTGCGTTGAAATCTGCTGCAATACAGGCTGAACCGGGCTGCTCTGGGCTGCACTGGCTGGAGACAGCCGTGGACAGCTGAAGTCCGCAGAAATCAGCTGAAGTATTCTGAGACTTTCTGGACGCTTCTCAGTCCGAGCTCATGCCGGCGGCAAGATTTCTGCTAAAGGACAACGGATGGGGTGGGAATGGATCTACGAAGTCCTGGGCGGGACGTAACGGGGAGCCGGGGTCTATCTTGGTCCAGTCATGAAAGATCAATATTATTTCTGCCCAGGGTTCCCCTCGTGCTTCTCTCTCTGTCTGACGACCGATCCACTTTACTCCTGCCACCCATCCCTCCCTTTCTCCCCCCAGCCAGTCCTTGCGAACGGAGCAAAACAAAATCTTAAAAGAAAAATAGAAAATGCAAAATTACAACAACGGATATTTCAGGGAAGGAAAGGGCTCTCTGGCCAATCCCGCGGGTCGGATCCATAGGCGCGCTTACCAGCAAAAGCTGAGGGGGATAGCCCCAGTGGGCCCTCGACCCCCCGACTTTCTTCGTGCTGCTCCGCCGCTCCGCTGCTCTGCTCTGCTGCCTGCAGGTCTCAATCCCTGCATCTCCGCTGTGTAAGTCCAATGTCATAACCTATAGGGCTAAGCCCAAGCCTGGGACCAATACGCGCGGAATCTTATATAAAAGGGCGTTGCGCAGCCCCCAGGCCTAGGAACACAGCCCGGGCCTCATTCCTACCACTAACTAAGCATGCCGTCGCTAGGCATCCGCGTTGGCTCGCCCCCTTTGCACTATGGTTGCCTTGCGCCCCACCTCGTGAGTCAGGCCAACCAGCGGTCAACCGTCCTAAATTCAAACCACCTTTTTATCCCTAATAAAAACAAATCAGGCCGGCCAACTAAGCCGGTTGCTTAATCAAACGGAGGAATCACACGCGCGCCTTGAAACTGCGCGCCCACTCACACTCTACCCTAGCCAATCATCCCACCTATGTAACCACCCAGACTTAGGCGCGTCTCGCGCAGTACACTTAGATTTTTAAACTTCCTTTCTGTCACTTAGAAAAACTAAGGCAGATACCCTTGTCAAGGTATTCGCACCGACAGCTTACCGGACCATATTAAGCGACGTCCCCGTCACTTCGCAAGATAAAAAAGCTACAAATTCATCCACAACTCCAATTGCTGACGAGAAAGGAACCAATCTGATTAGCCGACCGACGCAGGGTTGAGGCCTCCAACAATCCAAGCCCTTATAACTATATGCCGCCAAGGTTCTAACCTGGGTCTCCATTGCCATGATACTAGGACGCCGGTGTACTGGACATACGTACTACAACATAAGTCTCAGCGGCCCCTCTCACCCGTCCTCTCCTCTTCGTCCTAGACAACCGCCGGCTTCTCGTTAAGTGCCCTTGGTCTCTACCCTGTGAGCAGGACTTTGACCAAGGATGCGGGCCCTAACCGAGACCTTAGAAGGCACCTTCGCCTTCTTCCAATAATCCTCACAATCAACTATATATATACATATATCTTACCTCAATACACCTCTTGCAGTCTAGTACAGGAAGGCTAGGTCTCCATCTTGGCCCATCGTAGTCTGGGTGATCATGCCAGATCTACGACCCACCGCATTTGTTAGTTCAGCGGTAGTGCCCTCGCAGGTTGCGCCGCGATAGGCTTTTTCTCCTGATAAGCATTTAATCAGGACTCAGAAAGACTCGACTCATATCCCACGCCGATCCGCAGGAGTAAAACCCTCCTAGGTGGCCACACCCCTTTAAGTCTTTACTCTCTTGGCACGACGTAGGCCCGCCGTTCAGGTTACGCCGACCAGCAGCCGACACTATGGGTTGCGCCCCAGTGATGCTAAACTTTACCGTTAGCTTGGTATTCTCATACATGCCCCAAGATTAACACAAGTGGTTGGACGGTGTGTCGCAACAATACAGGCCTACTGCGGGACTACGCAGAGGTCTGTCACATATAAAAGGTATTTACCAGTCCTCTGTGGGACAACACAGAGAAACGCGGCAACCTCTCCACATTCACAAAACAAAAATCACCGCCAGATTCACAAGATCGTGACTGCCCTACTTGATCATAGCAAGAAAGCCACACATCTCAGTGACATCTCCTGAATGAGCCCATTTGCGATCTCTCAAGAACTTCCAACAATGGCCAAGCAACAATATGATTCTTCTCGTCAGACTTTATCATTCAAACCCAACTCACCATGCCGTTAAATCTATTAACCACCCTTCTTATGCGGGAGGTCTCACTTAATAGGTCTCTCAGCCATCCCTCTCTCTCTAGAATGACCTTCCACGCGACCTCTCATTAAAACATCTTCCTTCTCGAACGATGAGTCTTCCAACAAACAAAGGATTGCCTTCTCACAAAAGGCGCCTCTACTATAAAACAACTCAAACTGAGAGATCAACTTATGGGTCCTCATCACAACTCAACCATAAACATTTGGCATGGCAAGCATTTGAGTCTCAAGGACTCATAAATCCCTTAGGATTCCCACACTTTCACAAAAAACAGACTGCGTTTCCTCTCCTTATACCCGACCTTATTACCCGCCTGTGGGCAGATCGCACGAGTATACCGAAGAGTAGGCAGTTCACATTCATTCTCATTCATAGCATACATATCCCACAAGATGTCTCTCATACATCTTTCTCACAAAACCATCATACATCAGGATAAAACCACACATGTGAGAGTGAGTGTGATCGTCATGTACAAAGGGTAATCCCAAGTAACACTTAACTTAGCAATACACTAAGGGACGAGATATCTCATCCTAATATACAAAAATAATCTCGTCTCATGACCTCCTCAAAACAACTCACGTCACTCCCAATATAGTACATGGTCAACTGTACAGAAAGAAAATCATCAAAACAACTCAGGATTCTACAGTCACTCAGTGTACACACTCTATTTTACATGGTCCTGGTCCAAGTGGGTATCCTATGCCGTAGCCCCCATCTGTACACCCAACAACATAGGTATCTAACTGTCAAAATGAGAACAAGGTCAACAGAGTGGCGTCTGCCTTACTTAGGCAAACCATTCCCTACTCACTCATCTCCTCCTGGTTCTGCCTGTACAACTGAGCTCTACCTCCGTAGGCAGATCGCTCTACTATCCTACCCTGTCTATCATACATTCTTCCACCACTTTCCATGACCTTCCCCTCAGCCAGGTCCCTTAAGAACTTAAGGCACTGCAAAGCCCTATGCTCTCCCTTTTTGCAGAAGAAACAGGTCGAATCAAATGACTTTCTTGGCCTCTTCTTCCTTCGCTGAGACCCTGGCGATGATGGTGCCTCACTGGCCTCCCTGCTCAGCTCATAACTCTGAGGCGCGTCCATAGGCTCCTCGGATCCTGTTTCCAAGTCCTGAGTACTAGTTCCCAGTCGTATCCCAATTTCATCCGGTCTATACTCTTTGCTCTCGATGACGTCCTCCATTGCAACCCCCATCTCGCCCTCAGGAGGCTCCTCTATCCTCGGTTCAGGTGAATATAAGCTCGCGCCCTCCTGCATAGTGTGAACCGTCTCAAGCAGCACATCGATAGACCTCTCTGTTGAGCCCTGGACTGGCTCGCCGCTGGCTGTCGGCAGTCCCTCCTCAACTGAAGGTGGTATGGTAGGGCCTGCTGTCACCGTAGGCAGTATAGCGAGTTCAGTAGGGGTCCTGAACTCGAAGGCCTCTCTCTCCGCCTTCCTCACGGCCTTTGCCTCCTCAGGCTCCAAAATGACTCTCCCCATGGGTGCTTCTTGCCGAGGTTCAGTCGCAGGCGGCTGCTCTGGTAAGCCACGTCCCGGCTGCCTCTGGTCTCCCTGCCTGCTGCTTTCTGCCCCATCCATGCTGCCTCGAAGCTGCTGCCTCAAATCTTGAATGATGGCGGCCTGACTAGCCACCAATGCTCTGAGCTCGCGGACCTCGGCCTCGACGGCCTCCAAACGCATTCCATGGCTTGTCTCCCTCATCTCTTTCCCCCTCAGATCAGCCTCCAACATCATATACCTGTCGAAGGATGTCTTGGACAGGGAGCGGATCCTTCGGTCCAAATACTCATCCGCTTTTTGTGAGTTCTCGACTTCCGCCTTGTCTGAAGCTGTTAAACTCTCGCCATGTTGAACAAGGAATTCCTCCCACATCTCCTTGAGTCCATACGGCTTATGGGGTGGCGGCGGATCCGGGAGTGCCCCTGCTTCTTCCAACCTTTGCCTCTCTTGCTGAATTTCTTCCCAGCGCCTCCCTACTCTGGCCCGCTTTTCCTCAACCGTTTCCCCTGCTGGTACTCTCTCCCTTGTGCGACGATCGTCTCTCTCTGGGATCTCCGCCTCCACCTCTCTCCCAGCCTTATACGGCTCCTGGGGTGACTCTACCGGTACGGGCTCCTCCAGGTCAGGGTGCTCCAGAGCGTGTGTGGCCAGCTGCCCGTCAATCAAGGCGAGTGCCTCTCTCCTTAGGTCAGCTCTCTCAATATCTTATTCCTTCATTCCTTCTGGCGACGGGACCATCTCTGGCAGTGGTGGTGGGACCTCCTCTCGCTGTGATTCCTCTTCTCTGCTGGGTGCACTCTCTGGTGAGTTCCCAATCCTCAGTCCCACAGCTGGCGTCTGAGGGGGTGTATCCTCCTCAACCTCTATGACTGTCTCCTCAGCACGCCCTTTCTCAATATTTGGTCCCTTCTCCCGCTCAGGGCTCTGAACCTCCTCTTGTGGCACCTCTTCCGCTGGCTCGTCACGCCTCTCACTTGTTGGTGGCATTCTCCACTGGGAGACGTCCAATTGTGCCTCCAACTTTTGTAGTGGCTCTCCAGATACTGGCACCTCCTCCCATATGTGCAGTGGAGATACTCTCTGCCCTCCCTCAGTAAAACGATGGAACTCCACCGGTCCTAACCCGCACTCAAGATATGTCCCTCGCCCCTCAGTCCCAGGTACCATCTCCTCCTCTCGCCTTGCGAGCGCCTTTCGTCCCCTTCGCGACGGCCTGGCCTCAGTGGGCTCAGGGCCCCTCTGCCTCCCGCTCCTCAGACGTCTCTCTACTCTGGGCTGAGGCGGCTCTGGCCGTCGGAATGCCTCTCTCAAGTGCGCCCTGCATCCCTCCCAATCTCGGGCCATGTCTCTGATCTGCCTGGCCAAGGGCCTCTCCGCCTTTCGGGTCCACAATGGTAACGTCCTCGGCCACTCATCCCTCAATATGCCCTGATTATGCATGAACTGCTCGAACGCGGGGATGAACTCCTCTGCATTCCCTATCTCCAAGTGGATAGGTCTACCATCAGGTCCAACAGGTGATGGCCGTAGCTCCTGCATCCTTGCCTCCACCTCTGACCTCGTCCTCGCCTCCCTACGGATCTGTGCGATGGGCTCTGCGAATTTGTCAACTCCTCTCAACCTCCCGATTGCCTGGGTCATGGTCCAGCCCATATGATCAGCATACCCCCAGAACTCGTCTAGGAACAACTCAATATCCCCATCATCGTACACTGGTGTGCTCTCTCGGTGGTGAGACCTATACCGCTCATATCCTCCTGATGCCCTCAACGGCCTCCATAGCGGTCGTATCCCCCTCCCTCCTCTTGGCATGGCTGTCTTCGCAAAGTCAGACATGCAAAACAGGCGAAGGAGACAACATGCAAACGTCGGGGTAAGCAAACAGTCAGAAAAATAAGCAAACTTAGGTCAAACCAATCGCATACCTCATGCAATCCTTCTAACCTACACACCTTTCTATTCTACTCTAAGGGAATTAGATAGTCTATCTCACCTCTTCTCTCGCCACGAACTTCTTCAACCTTGTTCCTGACACCCAGTCCTTCCACTCAGTCCCATTTAGCTCCTCAATCTGATACGCGCTGAAATCCCCGCATCGCACAATCTGACAAGGACCCAACCACCTCTTTTCAAGCTTCCTAGACCACTGTTTTTCCAGGGACGAATCATATAGGAGCACGACATCCCCAACTGCCAAGGGTACTTTCCTTATTTGCGCCGACTGGTCCCAGCAAGCCTTATCATCCATGCGACTCCTTTCTACTTGGTTAGACGCCTCCTGGATCCTTTTCTCAATCACACCTACTTGCCGTGCTCGAATGTCGAACAACTCTTCGAAAACAGGCTGACCTCTTAATCCTGACGCCTCCAAGTCTTTAGGAATCTCTCGATTGGGAAGGTAGCGTGTCTCCCATACCATAACGTAGCCGGTGCGTATTTGGTGGTCCTTCTTACCGTAATATTCTCAACAAAGAATGTTGCTTTTAGATACCGCGACCACTGATTGGGCCTACCTTCAGTCCATTTGGCCAATAGGTTCGTAATGGTGTTGTGCCCTTTTTCTACTGGGGCATTTGCCTGAGGGTGGGCGGTCGTGGTGTAATTAGCTACTACACCATACCTTGACAGCAACTCTTGCACCTCCTGGCAGGTGAACTCCAATCCTCTATCCATTACGAATTCTCTGACAAACGGATAGCGTAGGTAGTAATCCTCGATGCAGCTAACCAGGACTGGCCCAGTCTTCGTACGAATGTCCCGTCCATCTACAAAGCCAGATAGGTTGTCGCGTGCATCGAAGATGTAGTTGTAGCCATGATCTCCGAGTGGCATGAACAACAAGTCGAGGTGTACTACGACCCCTACTTCCCTTTCCAACCTTGGATGCAGTGGCTCTCCCGGCCTCAGACGAGATTGATCTTGACAAGGTAAGCAGGACCGACAAAACTTACCAACCATCTCCATCATTCCGTCCCAATAATATAGCTCACTTATCTTGGCATATGTGGCAGTAATTCCTTGATGCCCTCCCGCAATGTCGTCATGACGTTCAGCTATAACGTCGATCTGGCGGTTCCTGCCGCATACAACTCTCCTGGGATTTCCTACTTGCCTTTTTACGAAGAGATGACCATCTCTCACCAAGTACCGTTCCCTCATCCTCTAGGATAGGAGAAGTCGCAGCTCTAGGTAAATTCCATCATATTCTTCTGCCCGGAATGCTTCCTTGATCTCCCCCTCTTCAAACTCGTCATCTTGGCTTTCGAGTACAACATCTCCTCCCTCGGTCGGATTTAGCGAGTCTTCCAGGTCAAAGGAATCCTACAAAAGTGTATTGACAAGGAGGTACATTCCCCCCATCAATTCCTCATGCCTCCTTACCCGGTCTGGACCTTCCTCTATCGTTGTTATCTCCTCCACTATACCGTGATTGCCTGCGAGTGTCAGCTTCGTCATCCATTGGACGTCTTTGCCGCCCCAAGGGTCCTCTTCCTCAAAAGGTTTTAGCACTAATTCAGTCTTTCCTTCATACCCCTTCGGTGCGTGCCAAATGGGATGACCAACACAGCTAGGCACGCGCGGAGATCACTTATTGATGTGAAGGCGGATGTCTTCCTCCTGGTTCAAAAAACCATCAACTAGGGGCGTATCTTCCATTGCCTCCCCTTCCTGCTTATCCTAGTTGATGCGGCTCAGCCCATCCGCTCTATTCTTATTTCCCGGAATTCGCTCCAACTCAAAGTTGAACATCCAGATGTATGTTAACCACCTGGCAACCGTTGGATCGGACGGAACATAGTTCCTTAGGGAGAAAGTTAGGGTTGTTGGGTCCACTTTTAGTATGAACCTCCTGCCAAAGATATAGTTTCGGAAGATCCGCAGGCAGTAAAGGACAGCGAGAGTTTCCCTCTTGAATTGAGAGTAGTTCTTCTCTGTCGTACATAGAGTCCGACTCTCAAAATGTAATGGTCTCTCATTTCCCTCAGTGTCTGCCTGGATTAGAACTCCACCCAAGGCAGTTAGTCTAGCATCCGTTTCAACAATAAACGGCCTTAGCTCCGTAGCGTCATAGTTTGGCGCTCCCAACACCAATCCTCCCTCTCGAAACTCTTCCTTCATCCAAGCTACCTCCTGCTCCTGATCCTCACCCCAAATCCACTCCTGATCCTGACGAACTAACTTCCTCAATTGTTGTGTCTTGGCAGGAAAGTTCTTGACGAACGTCCTCCAGAAGCCATACGTACCAAGGAAGCTCCTAACATCTGTTATCGAGTGGAATGACACTGTTCATTCCACTATCTTGTCCGTCTTCTTAACGTCTGGCCGCCGGCCATCCTCATTACAGACGAATCCCAAGATGGTAGCTTCCCTCATGCAATGCTTCGACTTGGCTCCACTAGCCATAAGGTTATACTCTTCCAGCAAGCCTAGGACTTTGTCAAGGTCCTGAACGTGTTTCCAGACAAAGCGCCTTACTCCTAGCAAGATTTCATCGTCTTCTCTTCTTCGTGGCCCTTTCACTGCCAAGTCGTTGATATATGGCTGCGTAATATGCGGACTAAGTGTTTGCATGACCCGAATCATATGTCTCTGGACAATTGCCACAACGTTCGTCCACCCTTGCGGAGCCACATTCATGTGGATAAGCCCTTGAGGCGTATGCATCGCTATCACCGGTCTGTCTGGCGGATAGACCAGAAACTGGTCGTATTTGGAATAGAGGTCAATAAGCGAGATTATTGGTCTTCCAGCACATGACTCTGACAACGCATCTGCATTTGGCAAGCCTCCTGCATCCCGCACATTCACAACATTCAGCCTCTGCACATCCTGCACCCATCTCAACGTCCCATTAGGCTCGATGAAACAAAATTACGGGGACGCGTAGGATCCGCTTGAATAATCGGCAACGTACGTGCGTATCTTGCCATCGAGGAAATCCACTACCTTCTTCTCTTTGTCAGGATTAGGATATTGCGCCCCACTTAAGTTTCATAGTTCATGTGACACGGTATGGATGCGGATCATAGGGATCTTATCTACATCCAACCTGCCTCACTCCTCATCGCTAAAGGCATAGGCGCGATGCCTCGTCTTCATCAGTTCTACCATCAATGCCTTCTCTCGAGGCAGTAGGAAGTCAGACTCTCCCACTATCAGTTTCCCCTCGTTCTCTTCGTTGATACGGCACGGTCCCATTGTTGCGCTCTCTTTCATCGGTCGTCTCAAAGTTCGCTCCCGTTCGTAGTATACCTCCTCATCTTCGGTAACGAGAACGGGAACTGGGCGACACTTCTTATCTATCGTTTTGTATCGCTTTTGGGAACCCTGCTTGAGCCGTCCCCTAGAAAAGGCTGACTTGCTGCCCTCGCACGCACCTGTGCCATAGCAGGATTCTTTGGAAGCCGATAAACCAACTCCATCTCCCCAACCTGGGGATACTCGAGGACTTGTTCCCTCACCGTCTGAATGGCGTCTGGATCCGCCATTTCATGCGTAGCCACTATGTCCATGACCTTATTCACGTCAGATAAGTTGAGCGAAAATGCTTCTCCCGTTATTTCTTCCTCAGGTTCAGCCATAAGTCTTCGATGTTCATCTTCTGACTCCTCAATCGTGAAAGAGTCTGGATTGGGTCTGTTCCTTATGCTTCTTGGTCCAGTGTTCTGACAGGTAATTACCTCATAATTTCTGCACGCCGGATCACATAAGATTAGGATCAGCGACCCGTCATGCTTGTTGTACATTAGGGTCTCTGTCCTGCACAAAAAGGATCTCCGTAGGAGAATGTCATGATCCACGTCCGGCATTACAAAGAAGCATGCCCTGACCTTTACCCTTCCAATCTCCAACAATACATTCAAGGCGGTCCTGCAAAACACGACCTTGTTGTTGGCTCCATACAGTATGCCGCAATCCGAGCGGTCCATTTCCAACCCAAATCTAATGGCGTCAGCTTCTCGGATAATATTCATTTCGGCCCCCGTATCCACCATTGCCGCGCACTTGGAACCCTTTACCACTAGGTCTACCATACCGCAGGCCACACACTTCCAGTCCATCTTCGTTCCTGGTTCTGCCCATTCTACCTCCTTTGGCAGAATTACACTGAGATTGACATTTGACACTAATCGCCTCAATAGTCTACCTTTCAATTCATTGCGGAGCCTTGGGGCGGACGCCAGGACCTCCTTGAGGGTCATAAGGTCATTATGGCCTTCAAGCAGCTTGTCGATCACCCTCTCTGCATCAAACCCTTCGTCTAATCGGACTGCATACTTCTTTTTCTTGGATGGTACATCGCGTAGGACCGGTTCAGCTTCCTCTCAACTTTCTCTCTTCTGGGCCCTTTGTTCCGCCCTTTGATCTTCCTCCTGGCGCAACCTCTCATCCTCCTCTTCATCTTTATCATCATCCTCCACCTCCACCGTTTCCTTCCTCTTCCCTGGTTCAGGTTCCTTTCGGGGAGGCTCTTGACTCGCACTGGCCTTAGCCTGACCTCGAGTACAGGTTGCCTGCGCCAGCCTTCCTTGCGGCGTAGGAGGCCTAGTCATCATTCCTGACCGAGGGCCTGACCCCATGGTCGCCACCCCAGGCCGTCCTGGCATGGATTCTGGGCTTGAATCATAGAGGAAGACCTTTTGGAGATTCGCCCTCCACGCCTTTACTTCTTCGCAGAAACCTACCAACTTCCGTTGGTATCTTCCCACCTTGTCCAACAGATCTTCCATCTTCCCCAGCAGGACCAACGCGGGTTCCACCCTTTCCTCCGCACTCTAATCCTCTGACTCGATGATTATGGGTTTTTCCCTTATAACCCTCGCCCGTAGCCTAAGGGTCACTTCCTCATCACTTCCCACCTCCTCTACTCTAATGGGTGGGTCCTCCTTTTCCTGCCATAACCAGAATGTGGCAGGAGGCGC